GTCACGTTGGTTTGCGGTGTTGAAGCCCAAGGAATTGTGCGTATCACGACTGAGGAATACCTTGCGACTGCCTTTCAACAGGGCACTGTCCGCATTGGGAAGAATGTTGTATGGACCTAGGAAAAGGAAATTTGGAGGGAGGGTTGATCGCAACATCGTCAATGCGCATTGGGTTCACACTGGTCCTCGTCCGCCTCCTCCTCCTCCTCTCAACCATTCGTCGCGGCTCAGGTCCCAGCTGCGTGTGATGATGGAAATTCGAACAAAGATCAATCGAGAATATCTGAGACCTGACGGGTCTGGGAGACATATCGGGCGCCGCGGCCGTTCCCAAGCGTTCGGGATCCTTATGAGAGCGTTCCAAAATGCTCTGGAACTCTTCATTCTCGTCGAAAGCCTGCATGAGGACAGCCGACCTGCAGTAAACCGACCGAGCGAGCTGATGAAGTGCCCAGGGGGGTAACGGCGAAAGTCCACGATGACCACCACCACCAGCACCCTCCTTTTCCCTCTACCCCGTTTCGCCCCCCTCACCCCCCTCCTCTTCCTCCGCAAGAAAGCCCTGGGAACCGACTGAAACCCCGAGAACTCCCGATCCCTCCTCCTCCTCCTCCTCCTCATGCCCCTCATCCTCCTCCTCCAGCTTTTCCTCCTCCTCATCCTCCTCCTCCTCATCATCCTCCTCCCCCTCCTCCTCATCATCCTCATCCTCATTATCATCCTCATCATCATCTACCTCCTCCATGACCTTTCCTTATAAACAACTCATCCCTGTCGCGCCCCGAGGCCGGTCGAAAGGGCAGGCCGGGCGTTTCGCGAGAGACTTCCTCACCATATACGATCCTGAAGATTCAAAGTTGCGACATTTTCACGGATGGAGGGCGGGCGGTTTTCAAAATGTACTTCTCGCATTAGCGCCGCGCACATCCGTTTCAAACAAATGCAAGAGCTGCACAGATGGAAAGCGGGTCGTTTTCAAAATGTGGTTCTCGCCTAAGCGACGCACATTGTCGTTTCAAGATCTTGCGAAAGTTTCAAAGATTCTCATTGCGTTTCGGCACGATGTCGGAACGCCAGGGCGCAACAGTTACGTTGAATCGCGGTGTTGAAGTCTCAGGAATGGTGTTCTGGCACGGTTCATGATCGTCTAGACGCAGCAGTGACGGTGATTCGCGGCGCTGATGTCCCAGGAATGATGTTCTGGCACAGTACAGGATTCTAGAACGGATATCTTTGAACGGGGCACTTCCCTCAGTGATAATAATTCCTTGTACGGGCCAATCAAGAGGGAGCATGGAGGAAGGCTCTATTGCAATATCGTTGTAAGTCTTGGGTGTACATTGGTCCTCCTCCTCCTCATCATCATGATCATCATCATGGTAATCATCATTATCATCATCATCATCATCATCATCATCATCATCATCATCATCATCATCGTCATCATCATCATCATCATCATCATCATCATCATCATCATCATCATCATCATCATCAACATCACCATCATCATCATCATCATCAGCAGCAGCAGCAGCATCATCATCATCATCCACCTCCTGATCCCTCTTCTCCTGCCTCATCCTCCTCCTCATCATCCTCCCTCCTCCTCCTCCTCCTCCTCCTCCTCCTCCTCCTCCTCCTCCTCCTTCTCCTCCCTCTTCTACTCCTCCTCTTCTGCAACCATTGTGGCTCAAGTCTTTGGCGGGAGGCCCAGGGACTTGGCATTCTGGAGAGGGGAGTTCGCGGCCCCACCTCTTTTCGCAGAACAGCGCCTGCAGGTCTCCTCGGTCCGTGCACTGTATTGAAGCCTCCCCTTTCCTTTGCACACCATGTACGACTCTTTCGTGGTGGGTGGTGGATCTGCTCTGGGGCTCGGCCCCACGGAGGCGTTCAGAACATGCACCGAGAATGGTGCAACATCGACTCAGGCGACTCGGGCTGAGACTTGCAGCATGCTCCCCGAAGGGACGCCCCGGGTCGTGAAGGTGCACTCTGTGTTGGAGGCGGGCATCCCTGGCAGGGGCCCGCTCGTTTGTTGCGCGACCTGCTGCCGTTTCGCTGTTCACCGTAGGCAAAGGGTCCGTTGTATCCTGCTGGAGTAGGGGTGGCCCTGGATGAACCCCAGGCCCCCTCTCCAGCCAACCGTCACTGCTGGCACGATCCCCTCGGCGTGGTCCCAGAGGGGGCCGTGGGAGGGCCCCCGAGGGCGGCTCCCTGTTTGTTCGCGGGAGGCTGCCGCCCCGAAGCTTGACCTCCAGGCCCGTCTGAGGGCATGCGGGATCCCCTCTGGGGCCGAAGTGGATGAGCTCGGCACCAGGGCCCTGCAGGGCCAGATCGGAGGCCAGGGCTCGGAGGGCCGGGGCCCCCGCCGTGCCCGAGGCTCTGGGGAGCTCGGGCAGTGCGGTGGGAGTGGGATCGCCCTGGCGGGGGCTCGCCCCAGACGGACGAAACTCATGAGGGTGCCCGACAGACCACCTCGAGTCCCTTGTCGCCCCCATTGACTCTTCTCTATATGGGCAGCGAGACCCCTCCTCCATTCCTGTTCCTTATAGACAACTCCTCCCTGTCGCACCCCGAGGCCGGTCGAAACGGCTGGCCTGGCATTTCGCCTGAGACTTCCTCACCACTTATGATCCTGAAGCTTTGAAAAATTGAAAAACGTTCATAGGTGGAGGGCGGGTCGCTTCCGAAATGAGGCTCTCGGCTCAGCGCCGCGCACATTCGTCTTAAAAGATTACAAGATCCGACGGATTGAGGGCGAGTGGTTTTCAAGACGTGGCTCTCGCTTCAGCACCGCGCACAATCGTTTTGAACATTTACAATAGTTTCACGGATTTGGGGGCGCTTCGCCTTCAAGATGTTGCTCTCGCCTCAGCGCCGCGCACATTCGTTTTAAACAAGTGCAAGAACTTCACGGATTGAGGGCGGGTGGTTTCCAAAATGAAACTCTCGCCTGAGCGCCGCGCACGTTCGTTTAACAAGTTGCAAGAGTGCCACTGGTAAAAAAGCGCTTGTTTCCGAAATATGGCTCTCTCCTTTGCGCCGCGCACAATCGCCTGGAACATGTTGATCTGTTCCACTTGTTAACGTGTTTAACGTACCAAGTTTCACGGTTTGTAAGGGTTCAGGATTGTCGGGGTACTACGATCAAGCTGATCCGCGATGCTGAAGTCCCAGGAACGGTGCTCCAGCACGATTCAGGATCGCAAAGACGTGCCAGTCAGATTAACACGAGCCGTCAGCGTCCTGAGAATCGTGTTTTGGCACGCTTCAGGATCTTCGAACGGTTGTCTTCCTACGGGCCAATTCCCTCAGTGAGACTGAACCCTTGTAGGGGCCTGTGAAGAGGGAGCATGAAGGGAGCGTATATTCCAACATTGTTGATGAGTCTTGGGATTACACTGGTCATCCTCCTCCTCCTCTTCCTCCTCCTCCTCCATTCCTGTTCCTTATGAATAACTCCTCCCTGTCGCACCCCGAGGCCGGTCGAAAGGGCGGGCCAGGCGTTTCGCCTGAGACTTCCTCACCATTAATGGTCGCGAAGCTTACAAAAGGAGCAACGGTTTCGAAGATGGAGAGCGGGTCGCTTCCAAAATATGGCTTTCGGCTCAGCGCCGCACACATTCGTTTATGGAAAGAATGGGTTCACTGATTGAGGGTGGGTGAGATTCGAGATGCTACTATCAGATTGGCGCCGCGCACATTCAATTCAAACATTTGCAATAGTTTTACGGATTGAGGGTGGGTGGTTTTCAAAATGTGGCTCTCGCCCCAGCACCGCGCACATTCGTTCTAAAAAGTTGCAAGCGCTTCACGGTTTGAGGGCGGGAGGGTTTCAACATGTAGCTCTCGTCATAGCGCCGCGCACACTCGATTTGAGAAAGCGCAGTAGCTTCACGGATTGAGGGGGGGTCAACATGTGGCTCTCGCCTTAGCACCGCGCACATGCGTACTGGAAAGTTAACAGCGTTCCACTGGTTGAAGGCGAGTGGTTTTCAAAATGTTGCTCTCGCCTTAGCGCCGCGCATAATCGTTTTAAGGAGTGCCAAGTGGTTCAGGAATTGAGGGCGGGTCCTTTTCACAATGTTGCTGTCGCCTAGCGCCGCGCACATTCGTCTTTAACATGTGCAAGTGTTTCACTGGTTCTCATGGCTCAGGTACCAGAAATAGTGTTTGGAACGATTCAAGGCTGTCAGGGCGCAACAGCTAAGTTGATCCGCAGTATTGGAACCCCAGGAACGGTGTTCGGACAAGATTCTGGATCACCAAGACGTACCAGTCAGGTGAACTCGTGGCGTTGAAGTCCTCAGAACCGTGCTTTGGCACGCTTCAAGATCTTCGAACGGCTGTCCTCCAACACGGAAAGTCCCTCAGTGCACATGAACCTTTGTATGGGGCCTAGGGAGGGTGTATTTCACCATCGTCGATGAGTCTTGGTTTTACACTGGTCCTCCTCCTCATCCTCCTCCTCATCCTCCTCTTCCTCCTCCTACTCCTCCTCCTCCCCCTCGTGCAGGACGCCCTCCCACTGAAGACGGAAGACACACCGAAGAGACACCACTGGAAGTCGCAGCCGTCGCAGGAAGGACGAGGGGGGCAGCAACAAAGGCGACGAGAGGGACGAGTGCGTGAACAAAACAAGGAGGAAAAGCGGAGGAAGAGGAGGAGGAGGAGGAGAAATTGTTGTTCTGCTTCTTCATGAAAAGAGGGAGGGAAGGAGGGAGCGAGAGGGGCGCAGGAAGCCCTGCAGGATCTGAGGTAGGCAGCTCTGGAGACGACCGGCGACCCAAGCGGGCTCGGGGACGGGAGGAAGAGGCGGACCAGGGTGTCCGACGCCACTCGGCATTCGTCCAGCGGGTTCCCAAAATCGCAAGCTCCAAACGAAAACGCTCCAGCGATCCCACCAAACCGAAAACCCCATACACGTCGAAGCCTCAACGTGAGAAATACATGTCTCATCCGGTCGTCTCCCTATATTGCAAGGATACGGCGGCAGCCTCTTGGACTGAATCCCCGCTGCTGTCGGCTGGGCAGGCTTCCAGGGTCCAACCCAGCTTGGACAGGTGGTTTGAAGCAAGCATGTGGATTAGGTCCTGTAGGGAATTTGTCCAAACTTGCGCTAAGCGCAACTGCATGTGCCGACACATAGGTTGAGGGGAGAGCCTGCCCAAACCACAACGGCACCCGGAGGTGAGTACGTAACAATCGCCTCTAGATGTCTGCCGATTCACATTCTACCCACTCTGTCCTTGAGGTCCAAGTAGTCCCCCATGCCGCCGACGCTCTCCAGGTAACAGAGCAGGAGCTCTTGTCGGAAGACACAGAGCACCGGAAGCGAGATGCTCAGCTCGCACCTCTTATCGTCGAAGCCACCTTCCGACAGCTTGCCCGCCAGGACCTCCAGCAGCTCGCCCGGCCGCTCGACGAGGCCCAGGCAAAGGCCGCACGCGCGCGCCGGAGCACCGTCGCCTTGGAGGCACCCCCAGGCCTGGGCCGATCCGCGGCCTGCCCATCATCCTGCGTTCGCTCTGGGATCCCTGACTCCCTGAGATCCCTGGCAGGATCGGGCGGGGATGAATTCGGATAAGACGCAGCCAGAAGAAAATCTCTCAGATCCCGCGAATCTGGGGAGAAGGTCTCGGGCGCCGCGGCCTTCTCGAGGGGGGGGGGCTGGCTCACCCGGACGTCCGACGTCTTGGCAAAATCAAGACCGAGGTCTTCGGCCCTTTTCGGGCCTCCGCGGGCCCTCGCTGGGCCCCAGACCTGTCTGAAGGGGCCCTGGGGCACACAAATCCATAGACACAAATGACAGCACTCCCCATCTGTTCCCACATCTTCGGGGCTTTTGTCTTCCCCCCCACTTCCCATGCTTTCCCATATCTTCCTGGGGATCGACGATCAATTGTGTCTGTGTGTGTTTTCCCCTCCCGAGACGTCTTGCCGAAACCAAGACCGAGGCCTTCGGCCCTCTTGGGGCCTCCGCGGGCCCTCGCCGGGCCCCGGGCCTGACAGAGGTCGGCCCTGGGCGGCAGACCAGCCCTGGGGAGAGGGTCAGGACTTCCTGGGTCCAGGAGGAGGAGGAGGAGGAGGAGGAGGAGGAGGAGGAGGAGAGGAGGGAGGGAGGGAGGAGGAGGGAGGGAGGGAGAGAGTACTGAAACATCAGGGCGTCGGGCCTGGGAGCGGCAGCACCTCCCCGAGGGCTCGGCGAGGGGCCTCCGGCGGCGCAGCCCCCCGCCCCTCGGCGGGCTCCTGGGGCGCCCGGGCCCCGAGCGGCAGTGCAGGGGCGATTGGGGGTCGAGGCATCCCCCCCCCACTGCGACGAGTCCCCCCCCCCTCCTCCTCCTCCTCCTCCTCCTCCTCCTCCTCCTCCTCCTCCTCCTCCTCCTCCTCCTCCTCCTCCTCCTCCTCCTCCTCCTCCTCTCCTCCTCCTCCTCCCTCCTCCTCCTCCTCCTCCTCCTCCCTCTCTCGCTGCCCGCCCTGGCCTGCCCCCCCCCCCGACCCGCCCCGGAGCGCAGGTCCGATCGAAGTCCCCAAGAGACCACCGCCGAGGGTCCAGGTCCATGGCTTCCAGGGGCAAGGGCCTGAAGTCTGGCGTGTCCCCCTACAGGGGGATCCGAAAAATAAGACTTTGAGGTATAAAAAAAACAAGAAACAAAAAAAAAAAGAAACAAAAAAAAACAATCCAAAATGGTCAAACAAAAATACTCCAAAAAATAGTCCCCAGACTATTTTTCACTATGTTTGAACATTCCTCCTGTAGAGGGACAGGCCCGACTTAAGACAAGAGCCCCTAGAGGCATCCGAGGGCCTCTGGGGAGCTCCGGGGATCGCAGAAGCACCTGGCCGCTCGAACGCCTGGCAAAAATTCAGTCCGCACAGCGACCATTACAAGCAGAATGTCGACAACCACACCGAAATAGAATGCGGGTCACCAGATCCGCCGATGGATCGGAGGCCAGGTGGCCAACTCTGGCAAGCCTGCATCCAACAATGTCGACGTATCATACTCTGCTGTTCCGCGGGCTTCCGCCGGCGGGCGGACCCGCCGCCGTTTGCTTCCTTTCAACGCGACGCCCTTTGCCTCGGAAGTTTAGCGGGGGCTCCAGCACTACCGTGAAAACGACGCGGCGCGCTTCAAAATCGGAAACGAGGCCCTGGAACGGACAGCTGAAGGCCCGTTCTGCTTTTGCCGGCTTCCGCCGAAGGCGAGACGCGACGGAGATCCACAACAGATCGAGCCTCGATATCGACGCGTCTGGGTCCCCTGAGACACTGCTGTTCCGCGGGCTTCTGCGGGCGGGCGGACCCGCCGCCGTTCTGCTTCCGCCGGCGTCCGCCGAAGGCGAGGCGCGCCGGAGAGCCGCAGCGGATCGGGCCTCGATAAAGACGCGTCCGGGTCCCCCTGAGGCGGTCGCCGTCGCAGGGCTGCTGCGCACGGCGCAGGTAGGCGGCCGGCTCGCGGCAGCCCTTCACGCGCAGCGCGCAGCTCGGGCAGGCAGAGATCCACCCGGGCCCGTCATGGCCCGACGAGCGCGAAGAAGAGGAGCAGGAGGGCGAGGCGGTCCCTTTCCACTCCTCACGGCCACCGGGCGAGGATGGCCGCAGGGTGTCGAAGAGTGCGAATCGACAGAGAGCAATGCTGCCCCGCAGCATTGCTCTGGAGAAGCGGCTGGCCAGCCAGGAATACTTCACAAGGAGGAGGAGGAAGAGGAGGAGGAGGAGGAGGAGGAGGGGGACAAGGATTCAGATAACAAACCCTCGAAATCAGCGAAGCCCTCTCCCAATCACGTCGGGTTCCACAAGATGCGCGACGGCCTCCTGACTGAGTGGATTAGGGCGCGTCCGTGCCGGGCCGCAGAGCAGATCTGCCTGGAGAGTGAGTGGCAGCCTCGCCTGCCCTCCTACGACGGGGCGCCCCGAGGGCTCCGAGCCGGGCAGGGGGCGCCTTACATGGCACACGAGGAAAACTGCCCGCTGCGGGACAAAAGTGTTCAGAGCAGTTCGCCAAGCAGCGCTTGCCATGAAGGGCGCTTGGTATGGGACGGTACACCTGAAACGCCAACGACTCACTTCTAAAATCAACAACTGCTCTAACAATGGGAAAGAATTCTCTGCAAGGACCGATGAAATAATCGCAATAACACCGACGCCCGCGAGCAGCCTTCGCACCGAATATATTACCCACCGCCACACGCGAGGCTGCGTGACAGCACCCCGCGGGCACTCTGTAATTCGTCGTCTCGTGCTGGCAACGAGGAGGCGCTTACCACTGGGAGCTCCAGCGCCTTACGTTGCTAGACGCTGCGATCTCCCAAGGATCTCCCCGCTTGCGATCAGGTTCGTTGGCCCAGACTAGTCAGGAACTTCGACGTTCTAGCGGCGCGCACAAGTGGGTGGCGCAAGGGGGGCGGCCTTCGAAGAATCAAGGTCTCTCTAGAAAGGCCTGGAAGACTCCTGGGCCCTTTCCATGACAGGCCCTGGCTTCTAAGAAGCCCCCAGTCCTCTTTGAAGGCTGCCCCCCCCCTCGCGCCACCCCCCTCGTCGTGCGCGCCGACCAACGATGTTCTCCGCTCAACGCACAACTCCCAGGATCTCCCCAGTTTGATTGCCACGCTTGCCAGGGATTCCAATGGTGCTCAAGATTCGGCGCCACCGTTTCTTGAAAACTCTGCTGGGTTTCCCAAGACCTCCGCTGTACCACCGCCAACTGAACGCACTTCATTGTTCCCCATATCCTGGTTCTGTCATCACCTAGAGTCCTCCGGACCTTCCTCCTCCCTTTCCTCCTTGTCCTCCTCTTCCTCGGTCTCATTCGCATACTACCCAGATACTCATACTCAAATTGCTCACACGCATCACGGGGTCCATCACAGACCTACTTACTCTTCCTCACGGGCTCCATCACAGACTCACTTATCGCACGCAGAATCAACCACAACACTTCCTCAGTCGGGCTCACTCAAACTCAGACTCGCCCAAACCCACTCACGGAATTACACTCAGGCACACTCTCACTCATACACGTCCAGACTCTATCACTCCGACACACTCTTCTTCTCTCAGACTCACTCAGATTTTTCTGGTGGTCCGCTGCTCACCACGACAGAGCAGGCGTGGCATTCGGGCACCCAGGAGGGCAGCCGCCATGGGGTATTAAACTCGCCCGTTCGCGCACAGTTTGTGGGGATGTCTCAGGCGGCTTGCCTGGCTCTGCCCCCAAGACTTGTGTTTTTGGGGCGGTCCACTGCTCACCGCGATATTACTGGCGTGGCACTCGGGAACCCCCAGGGGGAGCCGCCAGAGGGTGTGACACTCGCCCGTTCGCACACTGATTGTGGGGAGGACGGTTCAGGCAGTGTGCCCGCTTCTGACCCCCAGGCACTTCCCGTTTGATGGTCCGCTGCTCACCGCATGTAGCACTCGGGCAGCCCCAGGGGGAGGCGCCGGAGGGTATGACACTGGCCCGTTCGCGCCCAGCTTGTGGGAATGTCTCAAGCCGTTCGCCTGTTCCTGACCCGCGGACTGCACTGGTCACCACGGTCCAGGAGGCGTGGCGGCTGGGCGCCCCAAAAATAGAGCCGCAGGAGGGGGTAGTGCACTCGCCCGCGCGCGCCCAGATTGCGAGGATGCCTCAACGGTGTGCCTGTGTCTGTCATCCAGCCCTGTGTCTGTCGGGATGGTCCACTGCTCACCGCGACATCGATGGCGTGGCACCTGGGCACCCAAGGGAGGAGCCGCGAGGGGAATGGCAGGTGCCCGTTCGCGCCCAGGTGTTCGGGATGTCTCGAGCGCCTTGCCTGCTTCTGCCCCCAAAGTGTTGTCCGCGCTTGGTCCCCACTGCCCACCGCGGAACAGCAGGCGTTGCGCTTGAGCACCCCAAGGAGGCCGCCAGGGGTGGGGACACTCCAGGATTCGCGCCCAGATTTGTGGAGATGTCTCAAGCGTTTTGCGCGTTACTCCCCCCAAAACCTATCTTTACTCCTTCACTCCCTTGCTCATTCACTTCCTCTGCTTCTCCTCCTGTTCCTCCTCCCCCTCTTCGTCCTCCTGCTCCTCCACCTCCTCCTCCTCCTCCTCTTCCTCATCCTCCTCCTCCTCTTCCTCCACCTCCTCATCCTCCTGTTCCCCCTCCTCCTCCTCCTTCTCCTCCTCCTCCTCCTTCTCCTCCTCCTCCTCCTCCTCCTCCTCCTCCTTCTTTTCCTACTCCTCCTCATCCTCCCCTTCCTCCTCATCCTACTCCTCCTCCGTGTCCTCTCCCCACTCAGACGCCCCCATTGACATTCAGACTTACTCATCAATGCTTCTTCTTCGTTCAGAATCACTCATCACACTCAGACTCACCCATCTTCCGAGTCACTCATACCGAGTCTCGCTCATACGTAAGTTAACCCATGCTCGTACTCACACAAAATCACCAACACCAAGCCTACTTCACACTCTGATTCAGTCAGGTTCAGACTCGCCCACCC